ACATACAGCTTCAGAGATGTGGCTCCGGACACCTGCAGAACCAAGGTCAGAAGCCATGGTGGACATGTCTCTTGTAGTCAAACTGTATCCCTGAATCCCCTTTAAAAAGCAGACGTTTTCTCTCAGAAGTAGAATGACAGAGTTTTAACAGGTTGACTTTTCCTGTCCTCCTCTCCATCTGATGAGTAATAAACCTATTTCTTTTCCTCGAAACCTTGGTCTCATGTTTTTGTAAATTGTAAATTGGCATTGAGGCCAGGGGACTGGCTTTCTGGTGACAGGCTCACTACTGCTGCTAGTCTGATTCTCTTTCGCTGAATTGCTACACATGCTTAGGGCCTTCAAAAAATATCTTCATGTGCACTCTCAGAGTGGAATTCTAGCTCCTTCTGGAACCTTCCCTAATTGATATGCTCAGACCCATATTGCTTAACCCAGGCCTGCCATTTTCAGAATCATCGGCCTCCTTAATCCCACCTCAGAGAGCTGGATAGGATTCAGAGTCATGAAAAAGGCAAGGGAAGGAATGCTGAGCTCTAGGTCCAGACTACGCTTCTCACCAGCCTGGGGGTTTCATCTCAGGAGACTGATGTGGTGTGAACAGCAGGGAATTCTCTTATGGAAACACAGGTCCAGGGCCCTCACCTTGTACCCGTCCCAAATGGAGTCATGGAGTCATGAAGTCTGGAAGTAGACATCTGTGAAATTGCACACAGTAATCTACTGGTCTCAAACAAGAAAGAACGGGGGCACAGCTGAAATCCAACAGGGAAAAGAAATGGCTAAAATCTGTGGGTAGCAATGTCTACTTCCTAATCCATCTCCTGCCCCCAAACAGCACTGCTCTCCTCCCCAAACTCATGTTGATGATTTTCTTCCCTTAGCAACAGATGCTACCAGGGCCATAGAGGGAGGTGATGGGCTGACATAGGCTCTCGACATGCCCTTCCCTCACCTGGATCCCCAGGCTCCTGTCCTGGATCTCAGAGTCAAGACCCCACAGAGGTCCAGCTCCTAGGGCATCTAAGTGAGGCCCTGCTCCCTTGAGCCACAGAGTGGGACCCTCTGTTAGCCCAAGAGTGGGCAGGGTGGGGCTCCACTTCAGGATGCAGGATGCAGCCCCTTGCCCACCCTTCCATGGCAGCCCTGCCTGAGCCCTTGAAGGGAGTCTACCCTTCATCACTTAAGGCAGCCAGGAATATCCCCACTGAGAAACTTTGGAGAGGGCTTCTCCCATTTTGCAAATGAGTAGTGGGAGGCTCCAAGTGCCATGACTCCTCTGAGGTCCTGCTGGTAGCATGACCTGTTGGACCAGAAACCTCAGCAATACTCTCACTAACTAAGGCCACACCTGGAGATGGCTTTCAACCATTTTGTCTTGACACATTCATGAATTGGTAGGAGTACCACTACAGAGGGAGTCTCCCATTCTGTCAAATCCCCATCCACCTTGTCATCTGCCCCCTGGAGGACTCAAGAGGCCACATGGCAGCTTTGGGCCACACTGGCTCCACCCAGGGCCCATTGTGATCTCGGTGGTCAGGCTGAGCTGTGAGCTGGTGAAGTGCTCCATCATTGATGTGAAGACCAGGCCCATGGAAAGATGGAGGAATGGAAGAGCTGAGCTCCTACTGGCAGTTGCCCTGATGCTGCCCTGGGCACACAGTTCCCTGGCAGGTAAGTCTCTGTGGAGTCCTTGTGGCTATGCCTCACAAGTGCTCTTGCCATCCTCAGTGAACTGGCCTCAAAGGCCAGTTCCCAGGAATGACAACTGTGTAGCTGTGGGGTGGGGGCATCTGGAGATCTGCATTTACACAGGCACCCCAGGTGTACAGAAGGCAGCTGGCTCCTATCACACTGGCTCCCACAACCTACACACCTGTGGAGGAGCCTGTTGTGTGGTATAGTATGTGTGTGCATGTGTGTGTGTGTATGTGTGTGTGTGTGTGTGTGTGTATGTGTGTGGTGAGAGAGAGAGAGAGAGAGAGAGAGTGTGTGTGTGTTCCAGAGCAAATGAGCAGTCTCAGTACATGATTCAAGAAAGGCAGCCAGCTGTCAATGGAGTGACGTTCACTGGTCACACGGGGCAGTCTGGTCCTCAGAGGGTCTCTTCCTGCTTCTATCCCTCTGAAAATCTTCCAAAAGGTTCTGCAAGCTTGCCTGGTCTAATAGAAAGCCATCAAACCCCAGTACTAGAACGAAGAAAGACATCAGTACTCATGATGGGTTCCTACCCCAGGTGCCGACAATGCATGCAGCACTGTTTCCTGGTCAGTCAACTGGCTTGTGGACAAATATCTAACTCCTGTCACGGTTTTAGAAGCTGAGTTTATAGCAGAGAAGGACATATTTGGCTCTGTGTAAACACTTGCACTCCTTGATGAGGAGGAAGAAATCTTAACCATAAATGAGTAAGCTAATTAGGTTGGCTTTGGTTCCTATTGAATGGTGTGAAGCAGCCAGAACAGTCTAGTGTGGCAGAAGGTCTAGGGGTAGCTGACAGAACTGACCCACTCAAGGCAGTCACAGAGGCCTTTCTGTGATGATGAGACTTGGGCTGAGGCTTGTCTGATGAGGAGTCATATTTGCAAGCATAAGTGCCAGCAAGTGCAAAGCCCCTCTGCAGGGAAAGAGATCAATTTGCTGCAGAGGCAGACAGGCAGGTATAGCTGAGGCTGAGTGAGTGAGAATGGTTACTGCATAAAGATGGGCTCAGAGAGGTCAGTGGGCCCAGACAGGCAACCCTTATAAAAGTACACTAAGGACTTTGTTTTGTTTTGTGTTGTTTTCTGGATACACAGGGAAGCCACCAGAGAATGTAATAGGAGATTAGGAAGGGAGGGCGCTTAGAAAAGTGCTCTGGCTGCTTGGAGGATAAAGAGTAGGAGGGGATGAGTTACGGGGAAGAGAGGATGATGGCATGGATGGGTTTGCAGCAATGTGAATGAAGAGAGCTGGCCATAGTTTGGAAAGAAGATGACTGAACATGCTGATGCATTGGATATGAGGAGTCAGGGAAAGAGGAGAAGTCAAGGTCAACTCCTAGATGTTTTCCTGGTCTAAATAGCCCTCTGGATGTGAGCACCATTTCTGAGCAGTGCAAAGTAAGGAGGCAGGTGTAGGGTGGTACAGCTTAGTGAGTGATTTATTTTGGGCCACATTTGGTTCAAGTTGCCTCTTAGACATTCTCAGGAGACACTGAGTGGGCAGTTGCTATGTGAGGGGATGCGCAGCAGCAGGGTCTTTGAGGGATAAATAAATCCCTGAGAACCATCAGTATAAAGACGATGCTTGAAGCCCTGGCCTGGGATGAGACCCTTCAGCCAGAGTGAGGAGAGAAATGGGGACTGAGGATTGGGCCGTGGGCTTGGAAGAAGACAAGGATTCAAGAAGAGTCTGAGAAGGAGAGCAGGAGAAGCTGCCTTGTCCCAGCCAAAAGTTTGCCAAGAGATGGCCTGGACTGAGTCTCAGATCTCTTCCTCCTTGGTGAAGCCAAATGGCATCCATCCCTCTAAATTAGCATTTCATGGAAAAGCAGGCAAAGGCAAGGTTGCTATTTAGCTTTGAATGAAAGATGAGGACATTAAGTCCAGACAGGGTAAAACAGTGGTGCCAAGTCACACAGCTTGCCAATGACAGGGCCGATTCAGAACTTTGGGCCTCAAATCCCACCTCCTTCCCCAGGTGTCTCCAAAGTAGGGCAGACCCAGAGATTTTCTCCAGCAAAGCCACAGGGCCCATTGCAGACTCAAGTTCTGTCTCCCTATTAGCACTTCTCTTTTCTCTCAAGGTCACCAACGTACTGGGGTAACCACTGGGAAGAAGAGAAGTTCTGAAACACCTTGATAGTGCAAAGCAAAGAGAAGCCACTTAGGATTTTTAAAACTTGAAATGAGATCACCCTGTCTTAATCTACGTGGAGGCAAGCCATGGATTTGAATCGGGGGAAAAAAATCTAGAGCCTAAAGGTACTTCATTCCAGTAGGACCTGCAAGAGAGAACACCTCTCATCCTTCCTTCTCTGTGGTCTGGTGGATCCAAGGGTTCATTTGTTTCTCCAGCTGCAGAATATATAAGCCCCCTGGGATCCCAGGAACTCTTTTGGAATTCACAACCACAGGCTTCACAGTTTCCAGGTCAGCCCAATTCTATGTCACTTCCAACACAGCTGAGCTATTAAGCATATAAAAATATGGCAGAATACTCTCTACTTACATATGACTTTTCATGTAAATAAATTCACATATAGTTTGCATGACCATTGGCAGTCTGATATCAATACCCAGAGAGTGTTTAAAATGTTGTAATAGAAAACCTATACCTCTTATGGGGAAATAAAGAATGAAGAGGTAAAAACTGCTCCAAGGTTTATACACAAGAATTTAAATAAAGATAGTTATGCTTTGTATTAAAGTGATTTTAGTAAAAATACTGTTCCTCGCCATTTTGAACTAAAGCATGCACTTGGAAAGAACCTTGGAGATGGTTCAATTGATTCCCATCATTTTATGGATGAGAAAACTGAAAATCCTAGAGGTTAAGCTCTTCTACTATTGGGAAGTTTCCCAAAGTTCATTTTGATATCTAAGAATCTACAGATTCTTTGGTCTCCCAAAGAATCCCCCAAATTTTACACCCACAAATCTCAGAGTGTCCAAGTCAGCCTCCATTCTGTGCAATTTCTGACAAGGTGGAGTGAAACAGTATGGCAGCACTTTCCTACCTTAGTAAGATTTTTCATGCCAACCTACACTTTCCACACACTGATGCTGGCTCTGGAAGGGCTGTCTCTCATCTTCAGGAAAATCCTGCAGGTGTCTGGGGCCATCTGATCTCTTTTTCTTGAATACTCCTTCTAAGACTCAGCTTCTCAACGTGCCCCTGGATGCTGTCTGTTGGTTCATGAGGTCCCTATACCTTGAGGCCTCAGACTGATGCCCACTCAAGGGCTGCAGTTAATAAAATGGAGAGCTTAGCAGTCATCACTTCACAGCAAAACTTTCTTCCTATCCCTTCTTGACAGTGACATTGATGTATCAGGCCCAGAGTTCCCATCTGGCAAGATCTCTGTCCATCCAGAGATCTGCAGCATTCATGGTTAGGCACTTTCCCCCGAAGGCTTCATATGACCTTTGACATTTATGTTTGAGAGGTATCTCTTGTAGCTCACATGACAGCCATTCGAACAGGCATGTCTGAAACCTCACCTTCAGGAGGAATTGCTGGAAGATCTTGGAGCTCTTCTGCTGAACTCAGATGAGCCCTCAGACTTGACCTCACAGAGAACTGCAGACAGCCACCTCCCTCCCATCAGACTTGGCTCTCCAGGTGAAACCTTCTCTCTGCCTCACTCTGAAGCTTTTCTTCCAGGTGGGCATGGACCTGCTGATCAAAGTTTGGATAGACTGACTCCACCTCTTTCAAGTTCACCTTAGCAAGCAATCATCCAAAACACATGCCATAATTTCAGTCTAATATTATCAAGGGTGGAGCAGACACTTTGCTGAGAGGCACACTGTGAGAGCTACAAGCAAGGGGAGGCCAGTTGGGCCTTAGATACCTGACTGAAAAGTCCCTCTCCACCAATTCAGAGCTGAATGATGTGAGCAATAATGTGATCTCTCAGAGGGTGATGTTCACCTGTAAAGGGGGATGATGAAATACATCACAGAGGGTTGTTGGGATTATTAGGAGTCACTTTCTCACATGCTCGTGCAATGCGGACACTGACTCACAGGAGATACAAAGTAGGTAGCAGCTGTCATTATGTTTCAAAAGCAAAGTGGGGGCTAATAAGACCTTCTAATTAGGAATCCAATCTGACTTCTAATTATCAGTAATTTTGTTTAAATATTACAAATTATCATTTTAATTAAGTTTTTAAAAATTTCCTCCAGAGACCACCATTGCTTTACTGTATAGTAATTCCAAGTTTCCCTTGTTGGACCTAAAAAAACCAAGCACTTCCATCTGTGATCAGGCTGCAGTGCCTTGCAATGTGTGGCCTTCCACTGGGAAGGGCCAATCAGCTACTAATCACTTTTCACATCTTCAGATGAGGTGACACCTTTATAGACAACTTACCTCCTCTTACCGCAGGGTCTTGATTTAGGAACTCAAAGGGCAGATGTCTTTAATCTGAGGTTCCTCAATTCCTTGATCACCTTGACCACCTGGTTGGCCAAGGAAATTTTATCATTGATGTTAAGATCTTTAGTGCTCTTCCATCTATTCGTCCATGCACCTGTCCATTCCATTCCATTCCATCCATCCATCTATCCACCTATCTACTCATTCATCTATCCATCCACCCTTCCATTCCATTCATCTATTCATCCACCCATCCATCTATACATCCATCTATCCACCCACCCATTCATCTGTCCTTCCATGTATCCATCCTCCCATCCATCATCCATCCATTCATTCATCTAAAAATACATACATACATACATACACCTATGCACCCACTCATTCATCCTTCCATCCACCCACCCACCCATCCATTAATTCAATAAGCATGCATTGAGTTCCTCCCATATGCCAGCGTGATATGGGAGTGATGTATAGATATTAAGATTAGTCACCTATGGCTCTTGGCCTCATAGAGATTACACTCTAGTGAGGGAAATAGACTTAACTAACAGTTTCACAAGTGTTTAATTACTAACTGTTGCTAATGTTTTGATGCAAGGGCAAAGTGTATAAGGAAGCAATACTGAGAGCACCTGATATGATCTTAGAAGGCAAGGGAGATTTCTAACTTGACTTTATAACTGAGCTAAGATGTGAGAGATACACAGGAATTAAATGGGCAGGTCAGGAAGTAGGCACAGGATGGGCCCTGAGATAGGAAGGAGTTGAAAGAAGGCCAGTGATGTTGGAAGAGAAATGGAAAGGCAGAGAGAAGCAGTGGCAGGCCTGGTGATGTGCAGTGGTGGTGCTGAAGTGTTTATGGCGATGATGAGATGTGGTGTGTGGTTGTGTGGTGTAGGGATGTGTGGTGATCGTTGTGTGGTAGGAGGTTGCACGTGTGGGTTATATGGTGGGGTGGGTGATGTAGGGTGTGTAGTGTAGGGTATGTAGTGATGGAGTTGTGATTTGCATAGTGGTGGTGGAATTGTACGGTAGAGGGTATGGTGGTAACATTGTATGGTGATTAGGCCAGTGATAGGATTTATGTGGTGGGGTGTATGGTACAATGTAGGGCAGGTGATGATGGAGTTGTGTAGTGTAGGCTATGTGATGGGGGATATATGGTGGTGGAGTTGTGTGGTGGTTGTGTTATGTAGTAGGACTGTGTGTTGTGTGGAAGTGGAGCTGTGTGGTAGGGTGTGGTGATAGGGCTGTGTGGTGGAGTTGTATGTTGTGTGTTGTGTGATCGTGGGGTGTGTTGGTTATGTGGTGGGGTTGTGGAGACAGTGGTGTGTGGTGGGAGTGTGGCTCTGGTGATGTGTGGGTGGTGGGTGGTGTGGATGGAGATGATAGTGGGATGAATAGGTGTCTCTCATACTTCCCTATGAGGGATGTGTGAACGACATTACCAATAGCCTTCCTGCACTCTGAGCTTAGCTCAGTTGTATACTCACTGTTAGGCCTGGACCAGATGCTCAACCTCCAACTTCCCTTTGTTTTTCTGCCTTTAAAGTGGGGCAAGAGTAACTTCACTTATCTCCTGGGTGTTGTGTGAGAATTTACATAAAACAGGACAGAGCCTGGAAAACAGTGAGTACTCAACATTTTAGGGATTTTTTAAATAATTACTTTTGTCTTTACTCAATAATACTAGAAAGGCATCAAAAGATGTCGCAACAGCCCTGTTAATGTAGGAAATGTCAAAACCTTATTTCTCTCAAGGCAGGAGTCCTAGAATTAAAAGTGGATCAAGGTGGATACTGCTGATTGTGGTAGGAAATTCAGGGGAGGACTGGGGAACATGTTGGGAATAGAAGATTTCCCTTTGCCTGTCAAAGTTCTGATGTCTGTCAGATGTCCCTATATGGGAAGGGCCAGGAAAACATGCATCCAGAGCCGTTCATATGATGGGAGCCAAGACATTAGATCAAGGGCCTGCTTTTCAGAGGACAGTGAGACACAGATGAGATAAAGGAGCATTCCTGCCTCAGCTTCTTGACTTGTAGATAATAGCAAGATCTGGCCAGGATTCATGGCTGAGTCTTCTTCCTCCAAGGCCACATAGGGAGAAGACTTCGAGAAGCAAGTGCTGGTGAGGACCAAAGCATTTCTCTGCATTTGCTCATCCCACTGGGGTTAACCTGCTGAGCACTGTGTGGGGGAGAGGAGAACCTTGTATTTGAGTTCCTTCCAAGCCAAGTGCTAGGACTATATTGGGTCCTACCATTTTCCTCTCTCTTCCTCCTATCTTTTAGTAACATGTGGCCAAAGAAGAAGTGCCAAATCTGAGGATATAGAGATTGGTGGAATTATAGGAGGGAAACCTGCAAACATTACAGAGTTTCCATGGCAGGTGGGCATTCTTCACAAAGGCATTCATCTCTGTGGAGGAACCATCCTCAATGAGTGGTGGATTCTAACTGCATCCCACTGCTTCCCAACAATCAACCAGTAAGTATTGCAACTGAATCTTTCTTCAACCTGTGTAGTAGAATATTTGCCCAAGGTGTCCTTGGGGCCTCAACATGGGTTTTCAGCCATGGACCACAACACTAAGTGGCCAACTGCAGGTTTGCTAGGCTGAGGATTCCACCTGGCATGTGGGAGGTGAGCTGCTTTCCTCCTTTCACATCTTATTGGGTGTCCTAAGCTTGTTCTATGGCCAGTCTAGCCCTTCTTGAAAATTGGAGTCAAGCCCATCAGTAACTTGAGTAGCACGGCTTCTCAGACATTGGCGTGCCCAAGTAGGAGATCATGGGTCCAAGACTTGATGAGCTAAGGACTTGCCTAGAATTTAGATGTGTCACCAGCTGCCCAGTTGGGGCCCTTTCCTTTCCCTATGGCCTGCCCTAGGCCTAGATGCTCGTTTCCCCTCACTTCTTCATATCGCAGTCACAGATAGGTAGAATTATTTTCTCATAGGGCTCATCTTTTGCCTTTCCAATACTTACCTTTGTTCTCCTTTTATTTTGAAATAAGAACTAACTTGGAGATCATACACGGCATTGACAACAGAAATAGCCAGAATGTGAAGAAGTTGAAAGTGGACAAGTTAATTATGCACCCTTACTTTGATGAGTTGATGCTTGATAATGACATAGCTTTGATCTTGCTCAAAACTCCGTTAAAATTGAGTGTCAGCAGGATACCCATCTGCCTTACAGAGGTCACCAACATGGAAAGATGGAGTACCTGCTGGGTGACCGGATGGGGTGTTACTGATGTCAGTGAGTTAACTGGGGTTGGCCAGGGTAGGGTGGTACCTGGCTGGTGTCTTGAATGGGAAGCAAACTCTAGAATCTCTGTTGGCTCTGGGAATTCTTCCTGGTAGATCTGGGGATCTACTAATTCTCACTAAAGGCCCTTGATAAGACTTGGCCTCAGACCACTGGAGAGCCATCCTTCCGGGGCCCCCTGGGATCCCATAGCACGTTGTGGAACGTGTTTTGGAGCATGAATTGTAGACAAGGCCTTATCTTTAGATAATCTAGGCAGAAGTTTTCTGAAGCAAAGGAGTGACTTGGAGGAATAAATGGACAGCTCTGTAGACTGCCTTCCAGAAAGTCCACATAGCTAGAAAGGCAATAGCTCTATTCCAAGTAATGGTGGCAGCTCTGCTCTCCTGTGGCAGAGGGCTCCGAGACTAAAACATTTGAAAACCCCAGGTCCAGGCCAAGTGGGGGTTAAATCTGAGCATGAATTTTTGTTGTACAATTGACCTGAAACCCACTCCCCAGCCAGTCTCCCAAAATGATTCCTTTCATCTTTGTTCTTAGTAAATGTGTCTTGCCCATAATCAATGGAGCAGGAGAATACATCACAGGCAGCACACCCAAATGGTAAAGCATTTATTCTAGTGTGACCCTTAAGCTCAGAGCTGGCTGCAAATCCGCCTCAGAAGCTTTTCAAATTAAAAAAAAAAACATCACCTTCTCAACTTAGAATTCTGCGTCATTTGACACATAATTGGTAAGCCTCTGCTATGCTCTAGGAAGTCTTCTAGACGCTGGTGCTACAGCAATACCCCAAGAGAGGGACACAGAGTCTTGGGGAGTGAATGTTCTAGAGCACTGGGTTCACCTCCTCCCTAGTGATTGGATTCTCCTGACATTCTTGTGAACTTGAACAAAACATCAATCAGAATCTCAGCTGGAGCCTGGAACTTCTGCAAGGTGGAAAGTCTGTGGACTCTGCCTGAGATTGATCATGGATTCAGTCCTGGGGCTCTGGATTCTTGGGGGTCTTGAGAATCCCGTCTATGTCCTTCCCCCTCCCCACTCAGTCTAAATTTGGATTGTTCTCTAGGCCATCGAGAGGTCCCCTAGTCATTGAGGTAATGTGGGAGTGTGCTTGAGCTCAACCCAATGAACCACTTTAGGCTCAGGCCCCCTCTCCATTTGCTTCTTTTCTGGGTCAGGTCCTGGGAGTACTTTACCTATAAATCTCCAGAAAGTCAACCTTGAGCTAATTGACTGGAATAAGTGTTCCCGTGAATTGCCTCTTGTCACCAAGAACATGCTGTGTGCTGGGAATTCTGCAGGTGGAAAGGATGCCTGCCAGGTAAGGGCTTGTGCTCTGCTTGGGGAGGGTGACTGACCCCCCTTCTCTCCTCTGGGTAAGATACCACAGCAGTATCTTTTATTCATTTATTTGTTATGGGGCCACCATAACAAATGACCACAAACCGGGTGGCTTAAAACAACAGAAATAATTCTCTCACAGTTCCCGCACAAGCCCGAAACCCAGATGTGAGCAGGATCACGTTCCTTCCCCAGGCTTGAGGGAGGAGCCTTCCCTACCTCTCCTAGCCCTTGGCAGTGGCTCCTTGGCTTGTTGATGCCTCACCCCAACCTCTGCCTGGGTCTTCATACAGTCTTCTCTCCCATGTGTGATGCACCTCTGTTTTCTTACAAGGACACCAGCCTTTGGATGAGGGCCCATTTTAATTCAGTATGACATCATTTTACTGTAACTAATTACATCCATGAAGACCCTATTTCTAAAAATTTGGAGGCTACTTAAAAAGCTAAACATTGATCTACCATTTGATCCAGCAATACCACTCTTGGGGATATACCCAAAAGACTGTGACACAGGTTACTCCAGAGGCACCTGCATACCCATGTTTATTGTGGCACTATTCACAATAGCCAAGTTATGGAAACAGCCAAGATGCCCCGCCACCGACGAATGGATCAAGAAAATGTGGTATCTATACACAATGGAATTTTATGCAGCCATGAAGAAGAACGAAATGTTATCATTCGCTGGTAAATGGATGGAATTGGAGAACACCATTCTGAGTGAGGTTAGCCTGGCCCAAAAGACCAAAAATCATATGTTCTCCCTCATATGTGGACATTAGATCAAGGGCAAACACAACAATGGGATTGGACTTTGAGCACATGATAAAAGCGAGAGCACACAAGGGAGGGGTGAGGATAGGTAAGACACCTAAAAAACTAGCTAGCATTTGTTGCCCTTAATGCAGAGAAACTAAAGCAGATACCTTAAAAGCAACTGAGGCCAATAGGAGAAGGGGACCAGGAACTAGAGAAAAGGTTAGATCGAAAAGAATTAACCTAGAAGGTAACACACACGCACAGGAAATCAATGTGAGTCAATATCCTGTATAGCTATCCTTATCTCAACTAGCAAAAACACTTGTTCCTTCCTATTATTGCTTATACTCTCTCTTCAACAAAATTAGAGATAAGGGCAAAATAGTTTCTGCCGGGTATTGAGGGGGTGGGGGGAGAGGGAGGGGGCAGGGTGGGTGGTGAGGGAGGGGTTGGGGGGAGGGGGGAGAAATGACCCAAACATTATATGCACATATGAATAAAAATAAATAAATAAATAAAATTAAGCTAGAAAAAAAAATCCTATTTCTAAACTAGGTCATATTCTGAAGCCCCACATGGACCTGAATTTTGGGAGGATACTATTCAACCCAGTGCAGATGCTCTGTAATAAGAACAGATGTTCTGCTGTCAAAGTAGAGGATGAGAAGGCAGGGGCACAGTCTCACAAGTGGATGACCTAGCTTTCCTCAGCTCTTGTACTTACTGCCTGTGTGACCTGGGCAAGGGCCTTAACCCTCTGCTTGTGTCTTTTCCAATTACTTCAGTTATAAGATAGGAAGACTAAGGATTCCTACCTTCTAGGGCCATTAGAATTAAATGAGTTAATGAACAACGAGCCCTGGATTAGGTCTTAGCAAATGTCATCTATATTGCTTTCTTCACCATTATTTCTTACACCTGTTCCATCCCCAATAGTATGCACACTGCTGCCACAAGTGTATGAAAGCATTGTGAATAAGCTCCACGAGGGGGTCATTTCAGGTGGGGAAACTGAGGATTAGAGATGCTAGAAGTCTTGCTAAGAACACACCCACCAGCACTGTAAAAATTACAGACCTGGAATTAGAACAGAGGCATACTGACTCCTGGCAGTAGAACTATCTTTTGGGTTCTCCAAATCTAGGAACCCAGGCTGGCCAGCCCAGATTTACCTGGTCCAATACATGGAGAGCGAGAGCCACGTGTCAGGATTCCTTCCATTCACTTGGCCATCTTGCAGGAGAGGTACAGTTGTTATGAAAGTAAAAACTGAGCCTTAATGCTCTTAAGAAAATGCATTCACTCTGCTAAATATTCACACTGGGTCTGAACCAATGCCTGTTTGGCTCCAGAAATGTAAGACCCACTGTTCTGTGTGACATTGGTCACAAAGGTCCCTCATCTCCAGAGAAGTGGTTATAACTTCTCTTTTTTTTTTTTTTTAACAGTCCAGTGACTTCAGGGTATTTGGCAAATAACACTTTGGTTCAAAGGGAGTTAATAAGGCAATTCATCTGTGATAACAACCTGGTTTTTAAAAAAAATATCAAATAAACGCATATCCCTTTTAAATAATTTTTTGCATTGGATTTGGATTTTTAGCAGACCATTGGGAGGTACATTTTGAGTGTCACATAACATTTTCAAAATAGAGCTTTGCAAACCATGAAACAATACGTACATCCTGATCCTATTTCTATAAAACAAAAATGGTGTATGCATACAAGGAGATATTCATAGAAGCCGCCCCTGCAGAGGCAGAATTAGAAGTGGTTTTCACTTATCTATTTGAATGGCTGGTGAAGAAAGTTCAAAGTGTGTAGCTAGAGGAAGTTTACCTCTTACTTTTCCCCAGGTACACTCCCCAAAGGGAAAGTGCTGTACACAGGTGGTTTTGTTCTGGAAATATTCTTTTCATCCACAATCGTTTGTGTTTATGTATGTGTACTTATATAATTATGAGTATTTTTAAGTTTTTTTATTTTTGATTTTTTTCCTTAATGATTATACATTACTCTTTACTAGAACTTAAAAACAATCCCAACAGTTTGGTGGCGTGAAAGTTACCATATTCTTCAATTTCCATGTCAATTATGTCTGCTCTGCTTACTTGTGCTAATTGGCAACTTTTTCTATGATGTTTTAAAATCTGTAAATTGTTTACAATGTAATGCTTTAAACCACAATGTAACATTTTAACACAATGTTGGCCTTTGTTTGCGTTTGGTATGAATCAGTTTGTGAACCTAGTATACTTAACCAATGACCTATTATGAGGCATCAGAGATTTTGCCTTTGTTTTATGTTTTGCTATTGTGAACAATACAGAAAGAAAAAAAGTGAGCTGGTAGAAAATGGATTTGAGGAGAAAAAGCAGGGGAAAGATTTGAAGATTTCTGACAAACAATAAAGTGGCAAAACCACTCCTTGGTACATCAAAATTAACACACAAGAATAGATGGTGATGATGGAGATTCGTTTTCCGACCCAATTGTCCCATTCAGGGCATCAGTTTGGTTTGCCATCTTTCCAACAGCCACAGTCATGTGACTGGAGAGCTGAATAAAAAGCCATCAACAAAAGTTCTTACAATTTATCAAATATATCATACTTAAGTTCATCCCCTCCACCATTCTCCTTTATCCCCGTCTCCCCCTATTCCTGGGATAGTTTCAACAGGTCTCATTTTTCCATTTACATACATGTGTACACAGTATTTGCACCACATTCACACCCCTTTCCCACCTCCTCTTCCCTCTCACTGGTACCAATCCCCCAGACAGGACCTGTTCCACCTTCCTGTTCTCTGATTTTGTAGAAGAAAAATAATGACATTTTTTTCTTGTTTAAGATAGCTACACAGGGAGTTTCCTGTGGCACTTCCAGCACAACAATTTTAATAAAAAGATGTCTTTCTGACAACAAACCAAAAGTTATGTTTTGTTAGTTTTATGATGTATGTGGTATATGTCAACTTTTTAAAATCTGTATGTTATTACTTATTTTCTTATTCTAAATAAATATTTGTTTTATCACTTAAAAAAAAGAGGTGTGCCATCAAAAGGCATTGTAAGTGCCTTTTGCCTTGTGCCAGCTACTGGCACCTTATAGGCTATAGGAGTAACTTGAGACTATTTCCACTCCTGAACAACTTTTCTCTCCTAGGGTGACAGTGGGGGGCCTCTGGTTTGTGACAAAAAGAAGAACAAAGACAAATGGTACCAGATTGGCATCGTTAGCTGGGGTGTGAGCTGTGGCGTTAAGGAGTTCCCAGGAATATACACCAAGGTGTCGAATTATCTGCTGTGGATTAACAAGGAGACCACGCAAGCAGGGAAGCCTTACGCACATGAGTCAGACTCTGGGTGCCTCTTGCTTCTCTCGCCTGGGGCCTTCTTATTCCTGTACTTTGTGATGCTTCTATTGCCTTGGTGATTAAACACCTTATTGTCTCCAAAACCAAGTGTGTTTCTCAGTTTGTGAAATAAAGATGAAGATGAGTGCAAGTTGGGAAGAGTGATTTATCAGATGAGTTGCACTTGAACTAATCATACAACTATAAACAGACATGGAACATACCTGGGGCTGGCTGCACAGACGACAGTTCACCTGGAACTTGGAAGCAGGTTGAGTCCTTTCCAAGGGTTCGATGGAACATCTCTAGCTGGAAGGAAATGGGGAGGGACCTCTGAGGCACGAGGCCACTCATTCTTCTCCTAAAAACAGGCATCTTTCCTCAACTGCCTTTGTCTTCCAAAGGGTCATGGAATAAGACTTTCAACTCCTCTCTGTCTTTATCTATAGCTTCATCTTGAGGTCAGCTAATTTGGTTTCCAGAAAGTTCTCTGAAACTTCACCTACTGAATAAGGGTTCTCTAGAGGAATAGGACCAGCATAATGAATTCTATATATATAATATATAAACTTATGAAAGGGGATTTATTGGATTGGCTCACACAACTAGAGGTTAGGCAGTTCAACAATGGCTGTTTGAAGGCTGGAGAGGCAGAGAACCAGCTAGCTGCTCAGTCTAAGAAGCTGGAAGCTGCAGAACAAGCAAACCAATGAGGCAACCCACAGAAGCTCCCTAGAGAGTTGCTGTTTGAGTCCATGTTGGAGAACCCAGAGTCTGATGTCACTGTCACTCAGGAAGAGTGGCGCTTGCACTTGCTACCTGGCTTTCCCTTGTCCACTTTTATTCCATTTGGGCCCCAGGCTATTGGTTGGTGGTGCTCACATTCAAGACAAGTCTTTCTCCCTCAGTTACTGCCCCTCAGTTCTCTGGAAACACCCTCACAGACACACCTAGAGGTGAGCTGTACTAACCTTAGGCATCTCTCAAGCCAGCCAGGTTGACAATCAAGTTCAACCATCACACTTGCCTTTGTTTCCATAGCTACCATCTGGTCCTGAGTCCTAATAAAGGCTGTTTTGCCTCTCAGAGGTCATGAGCAGCACAGTTCGATTCAGCACTGGGGGTGTCAGGCGGTGGGGCTCTGCCTCCATCACAATGTGCAATGTATGTGGTCAAACTTTCAGACACTTGTTCCAGACCTGTTCTAGACCTTATAATTGGAATAATATAGTAGATACTGTATGCACTACCCACCTGACCCTATTTTATTATTTTAGTGACTAAAACAAACATCATTGATTTATTTCGTTCTAATAAAATGCATTACCTTATCACCTCCTTGATATCGTCAGAAGTTTAGAATCTTTGATTTTCATTTACCAACCACCAGCCTTGGTGTTACTGCTATGCATTTTTACTTCTCTGAATATTTTAAATCCCAGAAGACATGATAGTCATGTCTTCATACAATCACAATTTATTTATCTTTTCCCTCACACTTATCTTTTATTTTCTTTCCATTCTGCAGGTCCTATTTTCATCTAGGATACCTTTTTTTCCAGAAGTACCCCTCTTCATTAGTCCTTTAATGAAAGCCTGTTGACAACAAATTCGTTTGCTCTAAATATTCTTATTTTCCCTTCAGTTTTTGCTTATTTTTTGAGACAGGATCTTAGTTTGTAGCCTTGAACTTATGATCCTCCTACCTCCACTTCCTGAGTGCTGGGATTACAGGACTGTGGCACTTCACCTAGCTTTAACTGTCATTTCTGAAGCTTACTTTTCTGTACTAGAACTCTAAATAGTCCCTTAAGTTTCTCTCATCACTTAAAAGATGTCATTATATTATTTTCTCATTCCCATTATTTCTGTTAGAAAGTTGGCCATCATTTTATTGTTGCTTTCTTGAAGGGGATGTGTCTTTTTCCTCCTGTCTTTGGTTTCCTGCCAGTTTGACTATGATAAGCCTAGTGGTGGTTTTCTTTGTGTCTCTCTTGCTTGGGGTTCTCTGAGCAATTGATACTTAGATGTTTTAAAAACTGCTCATTCAGTATTTGTTGAATATTGATTTTCTCATTTTCTTTCTCTTCCCTTTCCTAAGCTATCGTGATATGTGACAGATCTTAGGAGTGTGTCCCACTTATCTCTTAAGCTGTGCATGCTTCCTTTTTTGTTTTTTGGAAATTGACCTGTCTTCCAATTAATGAATCCTGTTTTCTGCTGTCTAATCAGTGGTGTGGACCACCCAATTGGCTAATTACAGACATTACATTTTTCAAGTTCTACAAAGCCCATTGACTTCTATCATTTACAGTTCTTTTCTGAAGTTCTGAATCTTTTCATTCATTCTGTCCATGCTGCTTCCATCTATGTAACCTTTTAACAATGGTTAGTCTAAGCTCTTGTCTCCTCCCAATATCTGAGTCTTAGTTCCCTCTCTGTTCACAAACAAACATCTACACTGGAATTAGTAGGGTTTACATCATTTCTTTCCTATTATTGTACTTTCAACCTTTCTTTGGTCTTATTTTTAAAACGTGTGAGTAGCATATTATTGGCTTTCTGTTTTAATCCTTACTGGCAATGTTACTGCCTAGATTGTGTAGTTGTGTTTTCTTACTTCTTTGTGTAGTTAGTAATTTAAGATTTTTAAATTCTAATTATTTTAAGTAGTCAGCATTGCATATTTAGAAAAATAATAGTTTCCACATGTTCCCATCTTGCACCCTGAAAATCCCCGTTGTCCTCTGTGGACAAGTTTAGCTGGATGATGGCTGGGTTTTCAGTCTGTCTTTCAGTGACCCTTATCTCCTGGGTATTATAAGTTTAAGTGAAGCTATGCTATGCACTGAAGTAGGATGGCCCAGGGGCAAGTGGGGACTGGACTCTGCCCCTCAGTGTGTTACACTGGGCAATCCACTAATTTCTGTTGGTTTCTGTTCCTTGGAATTTGAAGTAAGCTTTGTTTGATACAAACACCTATTCTCTATTCAATACAGCAAGACTCTTACAATTGCCCTGGGGAGCCCTGACCTGGATTTTGTTGGGTTGAAACAGGCCCTAATGCAGTGGACATTCCAAAAGAACACTGTGGCTTTCTGGCTACTGAGACAAATGGACAATTGTCTTCTGAAGTTATTTCATCAGTGCTAGGGTGAAAGGAGAATAAGAGGATGTGGAATTGGAAAGAGGCAAAATAAGCTGAGGACAGTCAAGGACAACTTTCTGTTTCCTTTGAATTACAAGGCCCAAGAGTCTGGGAGCTGGACAGCAAATTCCCTGAGCCCTTATGGTTCTGGGGACCAGCAACCACCTTGAGATACCACATAAGGCAGGTCAGGGACGTGCGGAGGGTGTAAGGACACAGAATGATGTAGCTGGAAGGACTGTGTCTATTTAACCCAGTTTAGGACTGACAGTCTGGTGGCTTGTGCTGCCAGAGAATACATAAACACAAACTGGGGGAGGACAGCTGAGCTATTTGGGACAGGAGACATAAAGAAATAGAAAGTTTTCCCTATGGATTTTAGCCTGTTTCTTTTTCTACTTCTGTATCTGAGCTGTGCCCTAATTCTCTCTTGTTACAACCCAGCTAGAGTATTTGAGCACAAGATGACAAAGACTCAGCTCCAGTTTCACTGATTCTGTCTGAACAGAGGGCTAAGGGCAGGCCCTTGACTTGTGCTTTCAAACGGGATTTGATGACACACTTGCTACTGTTTAGAATGAAGAGCTGAAACCATCTAAGAATGTTAGAGGTAGTTTCCACGTTGAGATGCTTCCTTTAATTTTTTTTTTTTTTTGAGCATTCACATGGAATTCTGAATCTCCATCTAACCTCTGAGTTGGGACAAAGGGGAATGAAGGTCCTGAAATCAGATAAGAAAGACAAGTGTCCCAAACAGGGCCCAAATAGGTCAAACCAAATCAACCAGTTCCCTAACGAGGAAAGACAAGACCGAGGAGTAGGTCAAACTTCATTTTGCAAAAATTGCTCCATAAATTAATAAACTACAAGCCTTACCACATGCAGCACTCAGGGCTAAGGACCTCACAAGTAGTGTCATTAATAACCCAGTGGGAGAAGTACTGTCACTGTCATCCACATTTAATACCATGTGCCAGATACTGGCTTTGATGTTCAGCGCCACCCAGGCCCTCCTAACCTCTTTCAGGATCACAGTAGCTGAAATCTTAGATTTTATTTTCTTCACTCTGTGGCATCATGGGTGGTAGATGAGTCCCTATCTGTGGCCTCCTTCAACTCGGTGTCCTGACGTCTTTGATGCCAATTTCTTTCTGTGGGAAAGCTGGTGAGATGGCCCCATGGTCTTGCCCCGTCTTGTCATTCTGTGACCCTAATGCCATCCCTTTCTCACAGTCCTTGTTTCCATTATTCAGACTCTTCTTGTCTCTCCAGTAATAAACCCTTGCAGAAAGGGTTGTCCTTTACGCAGACCTCCACATACACCTCTCCTGCAAGACAGTAACCCTGGCTCCTTTTTAAAGACAAGGAAACTCAAGTGCAGGTACCCATCTGCCTACCTAAAATGCCTCCTCCACACCCCACCTGGAATGGCTTTTCTGACCACCTTTGTTCTCAGGCCATCCTGGTCCTCTTTGCCAAACTCAGGGCTCAGGCCTTTCCCTTGACTTGATTCCCAGAAAACCAGATCCACTAGACAACTCCCCAAGGACATCTCTTCAGTTCCCACTTGTGGAGAGAAACCGCCCACCTTACTCTTCACCAAGGAGCTTCACTTATCTACCTGCAAGGCACATCACAGTTCTGTGGACCCATCACCCACATATCCACACATTTTACAATGCAGTGCTGTAAAGATGCATATGTTAGCATATATTAAAACATTTTTTGCCTTTTTTTTCTTCCAGTCATAAAAGAGATGAAAACATCTTGGTGAGTTCCCTGAAAGTGTTCTCAAGGCACTGCCTGTTCTACCTTGAAGATAAGAAGGACTTCCCTGAGACTGGGGAAATACCACGCAAAGGACTGGAGGGAACAAGTGTCAGAGCTCCCAGGAGCTAGGGGCCCAGCTAGGAGGTAGGGCCAGGAGTAGTT